TCTCCTTTTTTTCCTTCAACTTCCAAAAGGATAGATTTCCACTCTAGCCTGTTTGCATCACTCGAGGCTCTCAGGTAGGGAGAGAAGGACAACAGCATTTGGGGGAGTCGCCTCCTGCTGCTGCTGTGGTTACACCTGGCGGGAGCCCCCACCCTGCCCGGCCTGTACATTTGATTCCTCAGACACGGTTCTTTGGGCTGGAGTTTTTCATCCTCATCACAACCAGCTAGAAAAATAACTGGGGACTTCAAAAGTAAATAAGGGAATTTGGATTTTTCAATTGGGAAAAGAAAAATTCTGCCAAACGGTGACTCACTTGAGCCACTTCGAATGCACAAGCATGAACATGAGCCTGCTTGAAATCTGGAAACTGCAGGGAAGGGGCAATAACCCTCACCCCTCACTTGTGATGTTACCCCTTGAATTGTAGCTCCACCCACTGCAGCACTCTCCGGAGAGGCAACTTCCAAGCAGATACTGCTGGAAATCATTAAACAAATTTTTATCTGTGCCTATTTTATTTGTGCCGTTATCTAATATCATTTATAGGTATCCAAGTTATACGCATAATAAGAATGCTTTTGACCACAGTAACAAAATAATCAACTCATGATTTAAAACATGAATATGTATATTTGCATGGGAAACCCAGACTCGAAGAGACCCAGGGTTTGCGCTGGACTCACTGATGGTGTCGGAGACAAAGACCCTTTCCCTTATTGTCCAGGACGTGTTAAGTGCGCTGGCTTATTCCTTCAAAGTTTCCAAATGACTCACTTCATTGTTTTGTTTATGTAAAATTTTAACAAAACGTATATTTGCATTAGATACACATTTCACACACCCAAAATTAACTATATCCTTTCTGCTGAGAGAGAGAGAGATAACAGTTTAAACAGTGGGCAGGACGCTGTGCTCTCTTTGTCTCCAAGGTGAGGACAGGATGGGAAATGTGACTGTCTTGTCCCCTCAGATGGTCTGAACTCCTAGGAGCCTGTCATAGGGAATCTCCCAGTACCCTCAGCATTCTATGCTGTATTTAGGGGACAGTCGAAAAGATTTTCCAAATCACATAACCAGGAGTTGGCAGACCATTTCCATAAAGAGCCAGAGAGTATTTTTAGCTTTGAGGGCCATACGGCCTGTGTCGCAACTGCTGAATTCTGCTGTGGTAACAGGAAAGCAGTTATGGACAACATATAAACAATGTCCATGGCTGTGTGCTAATAAAACTTTATTTACAAAAACAGGTAGAGGGCCGGATTTGGCCCCCTCACTGTAGTTTGTCCACCCTTACCATATACAATTTGTTACCTTTGCCTTAGCAGGAAGGTCGCTTCATCTTCCCAACTCCCATTTCTCCACGGGGATGTGAGCGTCCTCTCAGTCCTGACACGAGGAGGACTGTTGCAGCAAGACCTGCCCTTCTCTCTGCCCTCACTGACCCCCACCCTTGGGGGAGGAGCGTTTCTCTGACAGGTGGGTTGGGAGGAAGAACAGCTGGTGCAGCTCAGCCCCTCCCTACCTCCTTTCAGATCACCCTCCCCAGTTCCCACCCACCTACCTCTCCTCTCCTCTGAAGCCTGTAAGGAGAAGGCTAGTTCTGGATGGGTGCAGTCTGATCTGGAGGGAGCATATGAGAACACCCCAACCTGGCCACCAGTCAGGTCATGTCCTCCAATCCAGCTTTTGCAACAACAGAGCAGGTGGATTTTCTGCAACCATCCGCTTCCTGCATTTGTCTCTCCACTGATTCCAAGCTGAGAGACCGAGTTTGAGATCTTCTGCTTTCCCAGCAGTTTCTCCCCAGACCCTGGTACCCCCATCTCTGTGACCAGGGAGGTGGCTTCCATGGGCTCCTGCCTTCAGCATCCAGCTGGGCTTGGCTGATGGGAGGCACCAATGGGAGACAGGAGGTTGAGAAGAGAGTAATGTTGGGCATTTATTCCCCACAGCCTCCTGTGAGAGCGTACTGGCTGGGCTGCATCCGTTACCCAAGACCAAAGCACATTACATTTAATCTCTATTTATCTGTTCCATGTTCCAAGAACCAACCCTTCCCCTTGTCCCCTTTGGTTTGGGAGTGATCACAGCTCCCCACTCTCCCCAGCAGCAAATCTTCATTATTTCTTTGATTTCCTCAAACCCTGACCACACCTTTATAAACAGTCCCTTCGTAAAACTCTCTCCACACTACCAGTTTGAGTGTGCATTTCTTACCTGCTGAGACGCTGGCAGGTACAGAGGGTAGGGAACAATACACCCTCTCCCTTGTCCGTTCCCCCATGATTCTGTCTTTAAATTCCGCCCTGGGTTGAATGGTGCCTCCCTAAAATTTGTGTCTACCCAGAACCTCAGGGTGTGGCCTTATTTGGGAGTAGGACCTCTGCAGGTGTAATTAAGGAAGGATAGAGTTGAGATGGTCAGAGGCGTTTGAACCAGAGCAACTCCGTCTTGAACAGGAGCTGGGTAAAACAAGGCTGAAAACTACTGGGGTGAATTCCCAGACAGTTAAGGCATTCTGAGTCACAGGATGAGACAGGAGGCTGGTACAAGACACAGGTCATAAAAACCTGGCATAGAAAGAGGTTGCAGTAAAGAAGCCAGCCAAAACCCACCCAAACCAAGATGGCCACCAGAGTTACCCTGATCGCCTTCACTGCTACACTCCTACCAGCACCATGACAGCTTACAAATGCTATGGCAACCGCAGGAAGTTACCCTATATGGTCTAAAAAGGGAAGGCATTAATAATCCACCCCTTGTTTAGCATATGATCAAGAAATAACCGCAAAAATGGGAAACCCGCAGCCCTTGGGGCTGCTCTGTCTATGGAGTAGGCATTTTCTTATTTCTTTACTTTCCTAATGAACTGGCTTTCACTATAGCCTACACACTCACCCTGAATTCTTTCTTGTGCGAGATCCAAGAACCTTCTCTTGGGGTCTGGATCAGATCTCCTTTCCTCTAACAAGATCATATTGGATTCAGGTGGGCCCTTAAGCCGTGAGGCTGTCCTTGTAAGAGACAGAAAAGGACACTGACACAGAGCAGAAGACCATGTGAAGACAAATATGGAGATGGGAGGGATGCGGCCACAAGCCAAGGAATGCCCGGGAACCAGAAGCCAGAAGAAGCAGGAAGACCCCTCCTCTAGAGACTTCGGAGGGAGCACAGACCTGCCCACAGCTTGATTTTAGACTTCCAGCCTCCTTCTGTAAAAGAGTAAGTGCCTGTGTTTGGGGCCGCCAAGCTTGTGGTAATTTGTTATGGCAGCCCCAGAATACAAATCCAAAATCTGAGACAGATTCTAACAAACCAGAAACATCCAGCATCTCATTGCAGTGTCTGCATTTTCCATATAACAATCCAAAATGTGTTTCTCCGTGGGTGACAATGATGAAGAGAATTTTATTTTTTCAGGGAAACTGACGCACTCCAAAGAGGGGCCTCTTTTATGATGACAGCCCCTCTGTAGGCAGCAGCACGAGCCCCTGCCCGGCAGAGTCCTCAGTCCTGGAGGAAGGACTGTCTCCGGGGACAGCAGCGACTCTGTGTCTGCGTGAAGACCCCGGTTGCTCCCTACTTCTGTTCTCTCCTAATTCCAAAGTGTCTTTTTGTTTGCTTTTCATTTATGACAAAAAATCAAGCAACTTCACTTTCTTCTAGTGCCCAAACCAGTACGTCATTGTCCAAGTGTGATCTCATGACATTTGTCAGCCACATTTTTAATTATGAGGAAGAGCTGTACTTCTAAGGATCCACGAGTTTTGCCTACCATTGTGCCAGGGATTTTCAGGATTTTAAGCCTTTCTGCATTGAGAGAAACATGAAGATGGAAAATGTAACTTGCTAACAAGGTTCCTGTGATGAGTTTTATGAAGGAATTTCCCTCTGGGGTTCTGCTTGTTTATTTAGGACAAATATAACAAAATAGACAGGAGAAAAGCTCATCGGACCACCGATGTCTTTTCAAAGCTTATTTTGTGTTTTAAAGAAATTAAAGCAGTGGCCAACACTTAAGCATTAGGGAAATTTACATAAAACTCAGTCAATTCAGCCACACTGCCCTCCCATTGGCACCTATAGGCCAGAGTTGATCACTAGCTACCCTTTAATGGGAATGGTGCAGATCTTTCTTTGCCACAGTCCTCACCCTTCCCTGCTGTCTGACACCTGCTCTAGTTAAGGCATTCATCTTGGGGGATTTAAGTTTGATGTCTCTAATAGACTGCTTTATTCACAGCTTATTCAACAAATATTTATTCAGCATGTAAGCTAGGGACTTGTCCTTCTTCTGTGAGCCCCTTCACCTCCTTTTTTTCTGCCCTCAGTCATTCTTTGCCTCGTCTAACCTCATTTTCCCATCTCTACAATTGTTCTGTCTTTGGGATCAGACCTCAGTGAGTTATAATTGTTATGTGTATCAGAGCTGGGGGCTCAGACATAGGACCAGAAGCTGAGAATGGTGGGAATCAAGGAAGTTTTCCAAGAGGAGAAAGAAGGAAGCAGAATGTAAAGATATTCTTGGCTGGGCTTAGTGGCTCATGCCTATAATCTTAGCACTTTACGAGTCCAAGGTGGGTGGATTACCTGAGGTCAAGAGTTTGATACCAGCCTGGCCAACCTGGTGAAAACCCATCTCTACTAAAGATACAAAAATTAGCCAGGCATGGTGGCACACGCCTGTAATTCCAACTACTGAGGAAGCTGAGAAGGCGGAGGTTGCAGTGAGCTGAGATCACGCCACTGCAGTCCCAGCCTGGACAACAGAGTGAGACTTTGTCTCAAAAAAAACAAAACCAAAAATGTTATTCTACCCAAATTACCACTATGGAGACCACTCAGCCTCCTATGCCGTCCCATCACTGCTGTGATAAGAAATGGCCACCAAGTGACTACCTTGTCCAAGAATCACTCATGCAAGAATCAATAGCCAAAAAGTGCAAATGATTGTTCATCAAGTGATGAATAGATAAATAAATGTGACATAGCCATAGGTATTGTCCATTCTTGTGTTGCTCTAATTACCTGAGACTGGGTAATTTATAAAGAAAAAGGTTTAATTGGCTCGTGGTTCTGCAGGTTGTGCAGGAAGCATGATGCTGGCATCCGCCCAGCTTCTGAGGAGGCCTCAGAAACTTACAGTCACAATCATGGCAGGAGGTGGAGGGGGAGCAGGCAGGTCACATGGCCAGAGCAGGAGCAAGAGAGCAAGGGAGGAGGTACCACTCACTTTCAGATGACCTGGTACTGGGAGAACTCACTCACTCTAATGAGGACAATAGCAAGGTAGATGGTGCTAAACTGTTCATGAGAAATCTGTGCCCATGATCCAATCACCTGCCACCAACCAGACCCCATCTCCAACACTGGGAATTACATTTAAACATGAGATTTAGGTGGAGACAGTATCCAAACCATGTCACCGTACAATGAAATATTACTCAGCCATGAAAAGAGATGACATACTGATTAATGCTACAATCTGGATGAAACCTGAAATACACTAATGAAAGAAGCCCGTCCCAGGATCACACGTTGTGTGATTCTTTCCATATAAAAGTCCAGAATAGGCAAGTACACAAGAGGGAGAGCAGATACCCTGGGGCCGGGCGGTTCAGGGGTTGGGAGTGATGGCGAGTGCAGGGTTTCTGTTAAGGGTCATAAAAATGTTCTGTAATTAGATGACAGTAATAGTTGTACAACACTGTGAATAAACTGTTAACCACTAGACTACACATTGTAAAAAGGTAGATTTCTTTAGGAGGTTGAGGCAGGAGGATCACCTGAGGTCAGGAGTTTGAGACTAGCCTGGCCAACATGGTGAAACCCCATCTTTACAAAAGTACAAAAAATTAGCAGAGCGTGATGGCAGGTGCCTATAATCCCAGGCACTAGGGAGGCTGAGGCAGGAGAATCGCTTGAACCTAAAAGGGAGAGGTTGGAGTGAGCCCAGATCGCACCATTGCACTTGGGCCTGAGCAAATGCCGAGACTCCATTAAAAAAAAAAAAAAAAAGGTAAATTTTATGGTATGCAAATTACATCACACCTTTTTTTTAAAAAAAAGATACGAAGTTCAAGAGCTGCTGACTTTGGGCTACATGTAGGTTACTTGCCCACCTGCAACTGAGGGATAGAGAGCGGAAGTGCTTCCCTCACTGGCTCCCACGGAGGAGGCATTCAAACAGGACATTCACTGGCATCTCTGGAGCATGCATATCAAGACCGCACACTGTGAGGAAGAGGCCATTGCTCATAAGGAAAGAAGACCCATGAAGGAGGAGAGTGGACCCCGGTGGCCGAATCTGACCCACACATACCCAGCGTGACACTGCCCATATTCACAGAGAGGTCTGGAGGCTCATGGAGGAGCTGAGAGGAATAACCTACAGGGGACAGGTACATGAAGAGAGGGGTGCTTATTGCTTGCTTCTTTGTATTTTTTTTAGAATTTGATTTTCTTAATAATTAATACATAACATATATATTTTTTAACCAATTAAATTTACTACCATGAATCCAAGGAGGCAGAGTGAGGCCAAGGCAGAGCTCTGTGGATGAGCAGCCTCCACCCACAGCCAGGCCCAGGTGGACTCCCAGAACCCACACAGGGCTGTTCCCTGCTCCCCGTTCCCACCTATCCAGTTTCTTTTGCGCACCTGCATCTTCTTCCCGGTAACTGGCTTGCCCCTGTGAGAGCCCAGTGCCAGTGGGCCTTGGCTGTGAGGTCTCGCCACCTCATTCCCTGGCAAACACAGTCCGAGGCCCCCTGAGCCACCACCCTCCTGCCCTCCCAGCTCTCCGCATCCCAGCCTGCACACCCCAGGGCACGGACTACGCCAGCTGCGTGGGTCAGATATTCTTTGTGTTCTGCCCCACGTCCTTAGGTGTCCCTTGTCCCTGGCGCTTTGACCACTCACTGCATTTCACCTGCGTGACCAGCTCAGTGGGGTAGGCTCTGCTGGCTTCTCCTGGGTGAAACCTCTGGCTGTGCCTTGCAGGCATGACCTGGCACATCTTTTGGAAGGGTCAGGAGGGGTGTCCCCTGCCGCCTGTACCAGGGCATCCCTGTTGGCCTGAGATTCAAGGTGCTGCAGGAGCTGAGATTGCTTAACCCCCACATATGCCCATCAGGAAGCGCAGGGGGTAAGACACAAGGGGTGAACCTTTGACCAGTGGGAGGTGGGGGCCAGGGGTACGTTTTCTTCTTCCTTTCTCCTTCACCATGGACCCTCTGAGATTCTCTCCCTCCCACATCCTCTTGGAAGCTAGACTTACAAGGAGGAGTAATCAGTCCAGATGGATGCAAGCACCTGCCAGTTCAGCAAAGACCCTCCCCCTCCTTGCCCCGGGCTCCTGCGGGCAAGCCTGCTGAAACATTGGTGGTCCTGCCACTCATTTGTTTTCATCAGTGGGCTTGTGACTCATCCAGTTAGTCTAGTCAGACTTTGGGAGGAGTCTTCTGGGGAGGTGACTTCCATCTCAGATAACACTCCACACCACATGGAAAGAAGATGTGTTCATTTTCTATGGTTGCCATAACAAATGCCACAGGCATAGCTCCTTAAAACAGCAGCTGCTGGTTAGCTTCTAGTTCTGAAGGTCGGAAGTCCAGGCAGGCTTTCCTAGGTTTCCTGCTGACGGTGTCACAAGGCTGACATCCAGGTGCCAGCTAGACTGGACACTTATCTGAAGGCCATGGGGAAGAATCGTCTTCCAGGATCACTCAGAGGGTTGGTAAATCCAGTTCAGTTCTGTGGGACTGGAGGCCCAAGATCCCCCTCACCTTGCTGGCTGTCACCTAGACCACCCACTCTCAGTTCCTGGAGGCCATCTGCCCTCCTTGCCCAGGAGCACTTCCATCATCAAGGTCAACGAGGACTTAGTCCACTCTTGTGCTTCAAACCTCTGCTGCTGCCAGCCAGAGAAAGCGCTCTGCTTTGAAAGGGCTCCTGTGATTAGGCACAGTCAGACAAACTCCCTTATGAGGAACACAGTCAACTGATTAGTAACCTTAATGACATCTGCAAAATTTCCCAGGCATATTGGCGCAGGTTTGTAGTCCCAGCTACTCGGGAGGCTGAAGGACAACTTCAGCCTGAAAAGAGGTGGGCGTGGTGACCCGAGATTGCGCCACTGCACCCCAGCCGGAGAGACAGAGCCCGACCTTGTCTCAAAAAAAAAAAATTCATTTACCAGGGAGCATAATAGAATCACAGGCAGGCGTGTCATCCTACAGACAATATTTAAAATTAGGATGGGAAAACTTCAGAGGCCATCTTAGAGCTCTGCCTGCCTTTTGTTCTCATCCTGCATCTTGCTTTTCGGCACCCCGTCTTTCCTTCTGCCTGGGGCATAGACAACGAGGCCTGGAGGCCCAGTTCCCACTGTGCAGCCCCAATGCAGCCAAGTGCAGGCGATGGGCAGAGACACAGAGCTGAGGCACAGGGAATGAAATGGGGCCACCCACAAAGTCTGGAGTTTCTGCCTCCCGCCTTCTCGTCACATGCTTCACATAAACTCTTACTTGCTTACACTGCAACTAGTGGAGTGTTTTGTTAATCTCTGCGGCGCAATCCTTTCTCATAAGCCAGCCTGGCTCTTTCTACTGTCCCCAGATTATTTAATCTTCCCCAAGCTCACACAGGTTTTCCTGACCAGGGACGTTTTCAGGGATGACACACACAGCCAGGGAAAACTCCATCCCCAGGTCTCCAGTGTCAGCCCACATCCCCTGGCCTCCTCTGCCCTCCCACAGCACATCTGAATTCAAAGCACCGATTCACACAGATAATTGCGTCATCTGGCTCTATCCATTTGCCCACACGGAGCCTAATGAGGTCAGACAGGTAATGCGATTCTCTCACGCTCCCAGGCCATCTGAGCAAAAAGGAATTTAATCTGATTTTTATTTCATAAAGCAGCCTCACACAAATGGACCCAAAAAGAAGTTCCTTTTTCACTGGAGCGTGGACTTTCAACATTGGTTTTGTTTGTGTCATAAAATAAGAACGTTGGTCTTTAGACAGAGCCCACGGCTTTATCCCTCTGAGGGTTTTGCTTCACTCCACAGAATGGGGAAAAACAACCTCAAACTAGTCAGAGTCTTGGAGCTCCTCCTTTACCTGTGGGAACAGGAGCCATCCAATGTTCTAAAGCCCCAAAGCCAGATGCAAAGGGATAGGTCCCTGGAGCAGAATATGTGATTAATGAGACTTCTTGGTGGACTAGCATGATTTATTTCACTGTATTCGTGTCTCGATCTGTGGCAAGGTGGTTTGATCACTGTTAATATAAATTGAGAAAATAAAATAGATTGACCATAAGATGCAGAAAGGCTAAGCCCACACTTAGAATTACCCAAAGGCTTACATCAAAGCACCGATTTTAAAAATGCGAGAACAAAAGGCCATGGAGGCTGGTCCAAAGGTGCAGATGAAGTATCATTTATGCCCCGGCGAATCAATGGAGCCATGAGTGAACCTCTATGGCTTAGGAAGTGCGTTGTCTGGCAAGGTTAATCAGACAGCTGGATGACCTAATTGAATTCGGTGCTGATAAGAAGCTCTAAGATGCAGGCAGCTCTGGAGAAAGCAGTAAGTGTGTGCAGAGCAGGCTGCTGACGTCTGCTTTCCAGGTAGCCGCCTTCTGGCCTGGGCCTATGCAGTCAGCTTGCTGCAGAGTGAGAGCTTGCCACAGCCAACAGGAGCCCAGGCAGATGTAGAAAGCAGCCTCTGCTGGTTTAATTTGCTATTCGCTTTGAGCGTCTGGTTTTATGGTTCTGTCTAAATGTGGAAAAACAGGACAAATGTGGTGAAATGTGAAAATGTCTGCTGCATGTAAAACTTCCTTCTATGAAGGTCTTGGAAAATAGTAATTCCTCTCTCTCTCCCCTTGAGAGATAGAAATAGCAAAGTCACAGCATTGGAATTGGGGCAGATGAGGATTCAAAGTACTGCTCTGTCACTGCCCAGCTGTGTGATTTTGAGCAAGTGGCTAGACCTCTCTGAGCCTTGGTCTTATCATCTGTGTGGTCATACCTGGCTGGGCTACTGTGTTGGATCACGAGATGTTTTATTTAAAGAGCCCAGT